GAGGTTAGGTTAGGTTTAGGGTCAGGTATGTACCTGTGAGGTCAGATTTAGAGTCAGGTATGTACCTGTGAGGTTAGGTTAGGTTTAGGGTCAGGTATGTACCTGTGAGGTCAGATTTAGAGTCAGGTATGTACCTGTGAGGTTAGGTTAGGTTTAGGGTCAGGTATGTACCTGTGAGGTCAGATTTAGAGTCAGGTATGTACCTGTGAGGTTAGGTTAGGTTTAGGGTCAGGTGTGTACCTGTGAGGTCAGGACCCTCTCAGGAGCTTCAGATTTTTTGTTAGCTCTAATGAAGGGCAATTTATCAGGCCCACCAGTCAGTGCACCCCCCAGACCCCCAATTTATCTGAAAGAAGGACACAGAAAAATGATTATAGCTCAAAAACTMTTAAACATAGGAGCTTCAGATTTTTGTTGGTTGTTTAGCTCTGATGAGGGGCTATCCATCAGGTCAACCAATGCCCCCCCCMAAAAAWWAAAAAAAAAGACCCCCACCCAAACCACTACAATTTTGGGATGCACCTAGCATGACATTTATTAGGAATAAAGACCTAAGTTCTGGAGCATTTGTGCGTGCAGGGATCTTTATGTTACCACAATGCAGTATCTAGTTTTTTACATATTTCTACCTGCATTACTGAGATGCAATATGTGGGAAAATCAAACTCCTCTGGATCCTCCCAGTGGTCCAACTGCCATTTGCAGAAATACACTGCTCCCGGTCAGAAGCAGCCTATCAGAGCCAGGAGGAATGTCCTACCAGTGTCAATCACTCTCGTGTAGGCTACGTGCTGCTCACACTCTTACCCCTCACAGCACATACCATCGTTCAAGCTCAAGATTGCCAGTGTGCTGCAGCTATGCTAATGTCGGAGAAACAAACTAAGATTACAAGAAAACTGCCAATTTCTGAGTGTTTTGAATGTGTCATAAACTGTTTATCTGCCATCATCGATGGCCCTGCTGCTCACTAGCATGCACATTTATGTTCTTGCCAGGCTCCACTGTGGTGGAGGAGCTGTGGAGGGAGGGCTGCAGCACTGGCTATGTCCATGGTTCTCTCAGGACTCCCTACTGCTGCTTTAAAGCAAGAAATGAGCCCCAACAATGCTGACTTGACACAAGGATCTCAAAAGATAATTAGAATTGATTTTAAACAGAACAAAAGGCTAATTTGGCAGCAAGCCTCTTACAAAAACACAAGGAACACAAGAAAGACTATCAGGTTTTTTCAAAGGTAAGTCGACGTGAGCAAATACCAGTGGACAAGCAGAGTCAGAGGCCAGAATCAAAGTTAATATATTTATTAAACAGGAGCAGGGGAAGGATCGAGACCTGGAAACWGAGAGTTTGCAGAGGTGAGTAAACTGACAGATTATTCCAGGAAGTTATTTCTGAGAGATGATGGTGTTGTTTCTTAYGGGTGAGGGCTTTAGGTTTTGTGTGGAAGAGCAGGTCCAGTGTCAAAAAATCCAAAGGTGTGTATTTACAGGTGAGTACTCTATTTACAGGTCAGTTGGAAGCAAGGTGGCAGCACATGAACAAGTGAGTGGCTCAAGACTTCTCAGGTTGGCAGGAGCAGGATCAGGCGATCTCCAAGAAAACCCTTGGGTCAAACAGTTATGATGCTTCAGCAACGAGTTGATCCTCAAGTCCTCCTTATAAAGCCAGTGATCTGATGAGCCAGTCCTCCTCAGGTGAGTCCAATTAACATTGTATATGTATATGCAGAGAGGCACAAGGTGAAAATCACCAAAATGCCTCAAAGACTAGACATGGAATGAAAGCCAATAATGCTCAGTCTACTGTGGAGTGCAGATGGACAAACTAAACAGGAAGACTAATGAAGAAAAGTGACTGCAGCTGTAGCCAATTCTAATTTGAATTTTGAGCATTTTTTTTAATTTCGCAAAAAGTAAAAAACAAACAAATGTGAATCAGACTTGTTTCCATCAACTGGCTTGAGGCGAATCAGTTACATCAGATGCATGCGTGTAGTAAACAGGAAGTAAAAGTTGCATCTCAGGAAAATGGAGTGAAGTTATCAAGAACGTGTTGTTACTATCGGGAAAGTTGTACTTATTCTGTCATATCAACTAGTTGTTGCGATTTTACGTGCTGTCTGGAGACGTAGAGGAAGAAATGCAATTCTCTTCACATTACGGGAATAACTGAGAATACGCTGACAGCAGGATGAGGTTCCAGTTACAGTCGCGGGTGCAGTCGCTCTGGTACCGGTTTCGGACAGACAGCGAGACATGTGAGGTAAATGTTCGCTATGTCCTGATGCATCTCAGTAATCCAGGTAAAAAATCAAAAGGAAAAAAATTGTATAGGTCTTCTGGACGGGTTCTTCTTTAATGAAACGTTTCGTCTCTCCTCCAAGAGACTTCTTCAGTCTGAGAGTTTCAGGCAAAATTCAGGCTTTTAAGCACTGTCTCCATGTGACTGAAACTCACATCACATGGGTATCGTTGACACCTAATTAACACCCATTGTTAACAGGGGGTGGAGTGATACTGGCAATGGCAGCACTGTAGGAGGGGGACAACTGAAAACGGAGGCCTCCATCTCTGTTTAATGATGGACGGTCTTTCTTCACAAAAATGGCTTCTTTTACTCCTCTCTCAAACCAACGTTCCTCTCTATCAAGAATGAGAACATCCTCATCTCTGAAAGAGTGACCGCTGGCCTGTAAATGAGTGAAAACTGCAGAGTTCTGGCCATTAGATGTAGCTCGTCTGTGTTGGGACATTCTTTTGAACAGTGGCTGCTTTGTGATGTCGCATGATGTCCCAGTSGCTTTCAAACCCCAAAACACATTACGGCAAAGGCTGGTTCACCCCAAAGATCCGGTGCCCCGGCACAAACAGAGCAATGTTGTATATGCTGTTAAGTGCCAGGAGGACTGCGACCAGTTATACATCGGGGAAACAAAGCAGCCACTGTTCAAAAGAATGTCCCAACACAGACGAGCTACATCTAATGGCCAGAACTCTGCAGTTTTCACTCATTTACAGGCCAGCGGTCACTCTTTCAGAGATGAGGATGTTCTCATTCTTGATAGAGAGGAACGTTGGTTTGAGAGAGGAGTAAAAGAAGCCATTTTTGTGAAGAAAGACTGTCCATCATTAAACAGAGGTGGAGGCCTCCGTTTTCAGCTGTCCCCCTCCTACAGCGCGGCTATTGCCAGTATCACTCCACCCCTGTTAACAATAGGTGTTAATTAGGTGTCAACGATAGCCATGTGATGTGAGTATCAGTCACATGGAGGCAGTGCTTAAAAGCCTGAATTTTGCCTGAAACTCTCAGACTGAAGAAGTCTCTTGGAGAAGAGACGAAACGTTTCATTAGAGAGGAACCCGTCCAGAAGACCTATACAATTTTTTTCTTTTTGTTTTTTTAATGTTCACTACATCAGAACTTATTTGACAAATGTGTTTCCATCTCTCCTTTTGCGCGTTAACTC